TAGAATTTGCATAAAGACAGACATACAGATGCCTGAAACAGAAATAAAGTCCAAAAGTAAATAAGTAAACACACACAGTGATTTTCAATATAGGGGCCAAGGTAACTGTAGAGAGAAAGGATCATCTTTTCAACAAGTAGCACTGGAACAACTCAACATCTATTCAACCCTTACATCAAACCATATATAAAAATTAACTCAAAATGAATCACAGACCTAAAGGTAAAAGCTTAAAAAATAAATCTGCTAAAGGAAAACACAGGCAAAAATCTTTCTGCATCAGAGTAGGCAAACATTTCTTATGTAAAAGATAAAAATGAACCGTAACATTTAAAACTCTTCAAAATTTAAAACTTCTTCTACTTGAAAGATACTGTTAAGAAAATGAAAAGGCAAATCATAGAATGGAAGATAATATTCTCAATACACACCTGACAGAAGACTTGTACACAGAAAATAGAAAGAATTCTTGCAACGGAAAAAGAAAACAAACAACCCATAGTTTAAAATATCAAATGACTGGAACATGTATTTCACAAGGAAGACATATGAATGACTAATAAGTATACTAAAAGACGCTTAACATCATTAGTCATCAGTGAAATGCAAAATAAAACCAAAAAAGATACCACTACTCACCCACTAGAACAGATAAACTTAAAAAGACTGACAGTGCCAAGTACTCGCCAGGATACGAAGCCGATGGGACTCATATTCCACTGCTATTGGAAATGCAAAATCGTGCAGCCCTTTTGGAAAAAGACTTTGGCAATTTCTTAAAATTTTAAACGTACTCTTACCATACAACCCAGAATTTCCACTCCTAGGTATTACCCAAGAGTAGTCAAAACATGTGTCCACATAGGGATCTGTACAAGAATGTTCTTAGCAGCTTTGTTCATAATAGCCCTAAATGAAAACAATCTAAATGTCTATCAACAGGTGAATGGATAAACAAATTGGTGTATATCCACGTAATGGAATACTATTCAATGATATAAAGAAACAACATAGATGAATCTCAAAAATGCTACCCCAAATGAAAGAAGTCAGATACAAATAGTACATATTGTCTGATTCCATTTATGTGAAACCCTAGTAAAAGCAAATCTAATCTAAAGTGATACTGGATAAGTGGCTGCCAGGATAGAGCAGGGAGAGTGTAAAAAAAAAAAAAAAAAAGGGAATTGAGTAGAAAGGAGTACAAGGAAAATTTGGGGGATAAAAAAAATGTCCTATATCTTGACTCTGGTGGTACTTAGACATATGTATACCTTTGTCAAAATGCACTGAGCCATGTATTAATATATTTTTTCCTCAGCTAACTTTCAATTCGCTAGTATTTTTTCACTAATGTCTACCCAACGTTCAAATCGTTCACTGAGTTTTTAATTTCAATGATTACATTTTCACCTCGTCTTATATCTACCCATACCTTATTAGAACATTTAAAAAACACTTCAAGTGTCTTTTAAAGCACCTGCCAGTACTTTAAGTATTCCTACCACCTCAGATGTAAATGTTCTCAATTGATGTGCAACTCATTTCTTTACATGTTTTGTAATATTGAATTTTGCATAAACGTCTTTTGTGTGTTCTGTGAGCTACAGAAGCATTCCTCACTGAATATTTTCAAGTTTACCTCTAAAAGGTCACGCTGGTTCTACAAGGATTGGACCATTTTGAAGATAATTTCTCAGCTAAATCCTTGGACATAAAAGTAGCATAAACTAAGAACCTACATCCACGTGTAGCACAGCCTGGGGTTCCAATTTCTTTGTGACTTTTTCCTACTCCGTATCCAGAGTAAATATCAAATCCCCTGTAGCTGGTAGGTAGGGGCTTTCTAGGCCACATTTTCATAGTAGGGCAGCCCTTCCAGACCCTAAGGTTCACACAGGCAGCTCTTTTCTAGTCCATAGGGCTTGAAGCCTAGATTTCCCTAATGTTATGATTATCAACTTCAGCCTCCAAATAGATTTGCACAGCCCAATGAGCCATTTAGACTTTACCTCCTCTCACCATTTGCTTTTAGATATCCTTTTTATTTCTAGTACATGAGCATTTTTCTCACTTTGTTTTAAGCTTGGCTATATACCCCACAATTCATTTGTTATATTTTATCCAGTTTCTACTCCACATGTTTGGAGTGAGAAGTCCTTTCATGATAGCAAAACCTTGATACCAAAAAGTGACAAGGACAGTATGAGAGAGATAAATTACAAGACGATTACGATTAGGAACACAGATTTAAAAGCCATAGGTGAAAAATTTTAAAACTGAGCACAGCAAAGTATTAAAAAAATGTTACCACAACCAAGTTGGGTTTATTTCAGGAATGCAACGCTGGCTTAACATTAGAATACTTAATAATGTAATAATTCAAGGGTCAGCAAACATTAGAGAGGAAATATTTTAGCCTTTGTATGTCACATGCAGTCTGTCACTTATTCTTCTTTGGTTTTGTTTGATTTTTCATTGTTTATGATCCTTTAAACACGTAAAAACAATTATCAGCTCACAAGCCATATAAACACAGGCTATGGGCCATAGTTTGCCAATTCCTGATATATTTCAACTTGCTAACAGAATAAGAGAGAAAAATCATATGATTATCTCAGTAGATGCATAAAAATGTATTGATAATATCCAACATCCATTTATGATTTTTTAAATTGTGCATAATCTAGGAAGATAACTCCCTTAACCCGATAAGGATTATCAACTTATAGCAATTTATAGCAACCTATACCAAACTTCCTTCTTAATGGAGAAATGTTAGAAAAATTCTTGTTAAGATTGAGAACAAGATAAGGATGGCTGTTGTCTCTACTTCTCTTCAGCATTGTGTCCTAGCCATTACAATAAGGAAGGGAAAGTAAATTAAAGGATTAAGATTTGGAAAGGAGAAACAAAACTGGTACTATAGAAGAAATAATATGATGGTCTACATAGAAAACCCTAGAAAGTACAGATAAAGTATTATTAGAATTTACAAAGAAGTTTAGCAATGTGGCTAAGTATAAGATTAATCTATCTCTTTATTCACAGGCCAGTTGTTTGGTTGAGTTTAGCTTGCAGAAGCTCTTGAAGAAACGTAATTAGGCAAGCTTCCTTCCAGAGAAAATTTCATCTTAGTTTCTACTTAGACACTACTGACCTGAAACCAAAACCCCAAAATGTAAACAGTGGTGTTGTTAGATAAGTTATGAATAACTTGTTTTCTCTTTTGTATTTTCCATATATTCTATTCCTGATCTTATTTTATTTTTATACAGAAGCAGCAGCAATACAGTTTATTTTTTAAAAGAAGTTATACACAGGACACACAAAAAAACTATTTGTTTAAGTATTATTGAAAAGCACAAAAGAATATTCATCAAGCATATACTTACTTTTCAAACAGTATCTTAATTAATTCTCATAAAAATTCTGTAGCTTTAAGTATTATGATGCCTAATTTTGCAGAAGAGGAAACTGAGGCTCAGAAAGGTTATTTGCCCAAGTGACAGTTCTGGGATTTGAATTTGAAAATACTTGTTCCAAGGCCAGTGCTTTTTCCACTGAACCACGCTGCCGCCCACAAGAGAGCGTTTTCACATTACCTGCTAGTTCTAACTAAGAGATAGTAATTAAACAATTACCTGCTAGTTCTAACTAAGAGATAGTAATTAAACAATTCTCCACTCTCGACAACAATATTTAAGCTACTGACATTTTAAAGAAATTAATATGAACAGCTTTATCTGCTGATAGATACTATACCTAAACTCAACTACAAGCTATTTCAAAAAGAAAAGACTCTAATATGAGTTAAATGCTTTTTCAAAGCATGGCTAATTACTTTATCTATTAATGGGACATGAAGCATAAAAATGTTGTCTAGTGACCAATATAATTATAAAAATGATCAACCTGACTAGCAATCAAAGAAATAAAATTCAAGTAACAATGATATATTGATCAAATTGGCCAAAAAAAATTTTAATAGTAATAGCCAGCTTGGGTAAAAAGTGAAATTCTCATGCATTTTAGGAGAGAATGTAAAAATCTGCTGTAGGTCAGTTGATAATATTTACACTTTAAAACATATGTGGCTATAGACCTAGTAATTCTTTACCTAGGAATTAATCCTGAGGAACTAATTGCAATATGTGTATAAAGATTTAGCTACAAGGCTGCTTATCTTAGAATTACTTATAATAGCAAAAAAGAAAAAAATAATAAAGAAAAGGAAACTGAAATAAATCTAAATCTACCTAATTAACCTAAGAACTTCGGTTAATGATTTTTAATACATTTTTTAAAAAACTAAATCCCGGTTTCAACATTTACAGGTGAGGAGACCCTGAGCAAGTCCACTGAACTCTCTCAATTTCATCGAAAGGAGTGAGAACAATAATAGTACCAATTTCATACCGGTAGTTTAAGAATGAAACAAAACAATTCACGTAGAGACTGCAGCACAGAGCTTGGCCTATGTATTCTGTCCATCAGTAATATAGTTAATGTTGTGATTAGGAAGGCAGATATAAAATCTGATTCCCTAGATTTGTAACTTACTAGTGGTTGTGCAAGTTATGTGCCTCTCTGTATCTCAGTTTTCTCTTCTATGAAATGAGAATAATCCCATAGAGTTTGTGTGAGGATTATATGAGATAAGTATTTAGAAAGTATTTAGCACAGTGCTTGGCAAACAGTAAGCTCTCGACAAATTTTGACTTTTATTTTAAGCATTTGTATTAGTATTGAATAAATATATATTATTTTTATAATAAATTATATACCAACTCGGAGTTGTTTACTGTATTAGGTATGTCCCCTGCATTGGCAGGTTGATTCTTAACCACTGCGCCACCAGGGAAGTCCCATCCTTATAAGTTCTTACAGAATAAAATTTCATATCTTGGGATTTCTTCCCTGTTCAAGAGATGTACATGATTCCCTCAAAGACCCAAACCTGGAAGAAATAAACCCTTATGCAAGGGATGTTTTCCTACCTTAACAGCTTCTCCAAGAGTTTGGTTTTTGTCAGCTTCCTCACTGGAATGTAATTCAAGCCTATAATTCAACTCCTGTAGTTGCTGTGCCTGCTCATTCAATAGCATTTGAGCCTGCTGTTCCCGTAGTAATGCATTATTCAATTCTTCACATGCACTTGCAAACTTCTCATGGGTGATCAATTTCTGAACAAAGAAAAAAATTTTAATTATAAGCTAACTGTATTGTTGTATCATTTAATCTTCAGAACTCTATTTGCTAACATAAAGAGAATACAAACATTTCTAAATATCTGATAGATGACAAAAGTACAATTCATTTTTCTTAATTTCCTAAGTCAAGATAAAAAACATCACTCTGATTTTTTTTCTTTTTTTTTGGCCGTGCCATGCAACATGCAGTTCCCCAACCAAGGATCGAACCCATGCCCCCTGTAGTAGAAGCGTGGAGGCTTAACCACTGGACCACCAGGGAAGTCCCACATCACTCTGATTTTTAAAGCACAACAGCTATACTCCCAAAGTTATAATTTTTAGTCAAATAAAATCTCAGGAAATATTCACGTTCTAAGTAAATCCATAACGCTCGGTTTAAATCTTGATACATGAGCACTTTTTATAAAGATAACGATGTGGGAATTAAAGCTTTTAACAAGTTCAAATGCTTTTAAAGGATTACCTGAAAGTCTGTGTTCAGTGTATGCTACCATTCAGGTTTCCCTGGTCAAACTACCCTCTCCTTGGAGAGTCCTTACCACACCATACCTCTCTCACTCCCACCACCACTCACGCTATTGCCATCTTCTTGTATTTTCTTCACAGCCATTATCATTATCTAAATTCACCTTAGATAGTTGTTCACTTTTTTACTGCCTGTCCGCACCCTTCCACCAACCACACATTTAAGGATGTGAGCTCCACAGGGCAGAGACCTCCTTCAGCTTGCTCACCCACCACACAGAGGAGTGCCTGGCATTCAGTAGCTTCTCAGTAGGTATTTGCTGAATAAAAGAATATCTATTCATATATAAACACCTGCCAATAAAACTCTGCACAACTTTTACAATATCATGACTGCATCTGCTCTGGAATAACTGACAGTTCTAGAGAGGGGCCATCTCTTAAGGGGTATGGAATCCAGGACAGGACATACTTGTATTATCTCCTGTGCAAAACTCTTAAACAAACAAAAATTAGTTACAACAAATGGCAAGAGACACCTTGATCTTGAGGTACAAAGAACAGAAATGTTTCACAAATGGTAGGTAACCTGAGAAATATATGTGGAAAACTAAAGGAAACCATGCAGGTCTCTTAATCACACTAAGTGTATATAAATCTATTTAAGACTGATAACTTTCCCATTGTTGAAAAGAATTGGAGGTGTCAACTTTTTAACATCCCTCTATTCGCTAATGGCACAGCACTTCTCTGGGTCTTGTGAACAAGTATTTTTGTACTTCTTCTACCTTTTACTTGTTATTCTGTTTTAAATTACCATCAGAACCATCTTGCCATCAGAACATTCTGTTCTTTGCAATCTACTTGGCCTCTATAAATGAAGATCCCCGTCATTTTGCAGGACTTCTTCCCACTCTTCCAAAATTTCTCCTTTACCTAAAAACTTAGCAAATGTTAGCCTTTCTCTTGTCCATATATCCCTCCCAGAGACTGGCGCAATTCTGTTCACTCTTCTGTGACTAAATAGGGTCAAACAAGTACAGCAATGCAGAATAAGAAACAGATAGTGTGTGAAAGCAGTTGTAGGGAGCTAATAAACCAAAAACAATAAAAAGATCATGGGAGTTAGCTATTAAAGTACAACTGTCAGTAGATGATCATGGGAGTTAGCTATTAAAGAACACCTGTCAGTAGATGAACATGATATTCCAAAACAGTGCAGGTACTAAATCGCTTTTGGTGGGCAGGATGTGTCCCTTTATGTTACAATTTTAGATGAACTATAACAAGCTATTTTGTTTGCCTCCTGTATACTTTGCCTGAAATAAATGAAAGATGATGGTTGCAGGCACACTCCCTGATTTTTAAAGAGGGAAACAGCATCATTTTCCCATCTATTCTGTTTTTAGTAAAACGATCCTTTATTAACATAGCTGGATATGAACATTAACCACTTTAGTGAAGTGGTTAAAAGTTTGCGTTTTGGAGTCAGAATACCGAGGTTCAAATCCTGTCATTTCCACATACTAACTGTGTGACTTTCGGCAAGTTACTTAGCTGTTCTGTGCCCTACATTTCCTCATCTGTTAAAAAAAAAAAAAAACAATGGATAATAATATTATTGAATTATTATTGATATGAGAGGACTAAATGAATCAACACCTTAAAGGGCTTAGGGGCAGTGCCTGATACATGTTCAATATGATCATTAAATGTTAGAAATCATCACTTTATAACTTTATACTACATAATGGGATGTCAAATATAAAAATTACATACATCATTCCTTCAATTATTATTTCAATTAATCCTATTTTTATTTCTACACTTCAGTGGAAGAAATTCACACTAAACATTTCTTGGAACACGTTCTTTGCTCTTGCTGCGAGCCAGTTACTCAACCAAAGTTTATTTGCCATAGCAGTTAACCATCCTAACTACAGCTTAATCATTTTCTATACTTTCAGTCACAGTATACATTTTAACAGGGCTATAAGCTCTGCTGACACAATCAGTACTCCTTTAAGCATCTGGAATAAATCTTTTTTTTCAATGTTTTTTGAGATGATTTTAATGATGCTGTGCTTTTTATTTAATTGACACACAACACTGCTTAAGTTTAAGATGTACAATGTATTCATTTGATACACTTCTAACTTGCAAAACAATTACAGCCCTAGCTAGCTCTATTAAGTCACATAATTATTACTTCTTTTTTGTGGTGAGAACATTTAAGTTCTAGTCTCTTAGCAAATTTGAAATGTATAATACATTACTGTTGGGGAATTTTAGAAGGGAATTTTTCTAAAGAAAAAGCAATTCTATTAATGGGATTTGATTATTTGAAAAAGGAAACATAATAAAAAGTTAAGGAAAACAAACATATATATTTGCCCTGTGATATTTTATATACATATGTATATCATACATATTTTATATCAGAGGAGAACTCACCAAAGCCATAGTTTTTAAATCATATATACTTACTGACTGCTTAACTTCATTTAACTGCATCTGAAGACCCTGGGTTTTGTCAAGCTCCTTCTTCAGTTCATTCACATTTCGTTTCAGTTCTGTGACCTCTAAGCGTAGTGAGCGGCGCTCCACTTCTGCTGTGTGCAGTCTTTGTGTAAATCCAAATATTTGTTTCTGTAATGATGCTGTGCTTTTCTATTGTCAAATAAGAGCAATTTTACAAAAAGTCACTTCAGATTTACTAGTAAGTCCATAGCAATGGTCATTTTACCAAATTAAAGGTAACTTAGGTTATACAGAAAACAATACCAGCTCTTACTAAAACTTAAAGTGAAGGCTTTATTTTTTTATGTGACCAATAATTTGCCTTATATGAAATGAAAAATGAAGAAAAGAAATAATCTAGATGGCTAGAAAACAGAAAAGATAACTGTTGATGTCTCACACAATTCTGTTGCAGTATACTCGTACAGAACAGTTAATTCAGAACTCGTGCCAGAACTTTTGTATTTGGCTATTACGGACACTTATTTGGAAGTTCTTTTATTTATCATATTAAACTATTACATGAAATCTAAAAGAAATCTACATACACTTGTGTACAACTAATATAAACTACAAACAAATTTGATTCAGAATTAAATTTACAAGTCCTAAAATCCCTATTTAATGAAATTGCATACATACCAAAATGGGCATGTGGCCACATAGACCGTATTTCAGGGCCAGTGTGTTTACTTTATGAAGTCCACGGGCCAGCCTCTGAACCAGGGAATCTTTTTCCACATATCTAATACTCCTGCTCCTGTGCAAAGGTATACTGTCCATTGCCAGATTAATTTTATCCATGAGTTTTGCAAAAGAACTCTTGGCTGCTCCTATAAGCAAATGTCCACAAATTCTGGAATTTGGATCTTCAAAGAAAAAGAAAAAAAGCACAAAAAAATAAGAATTGTCTCTTGTTCATTTCACAACACTGCCAGTCACAACACAATGAAAATATTTTCTCAGTTATATCATTCCCACCCACCTGTAGTAATCCATTCAAGAAGTCCCCGCCTATATCAACTTTCACTATGTAAGAAATAGCCCACCTACTAAATAATGTATCTAAAGAAAATCTGCATGTATTTACAGTATGTCATTAATACTGAACACTATGACACTAAAAAATCATCATCACTCCTTTCTTTGTTTTAAAACCTAACAAATTCATTTTCTATTTACAACTACTGAAGCTTATTACTTTAATGTCACACTATTTATATTCTCAAACAAGAAAATATAACTTGCCTTATTCCAAGGCAATTAACATTTTACAACTACAATTACTCATTTCCCCGTAGGATTTTGGTAATCATTCCTCTCATATAATGGACTTAAGGTCCCAGCATATTCAACATGGCCTGCTTACTCCTAGATTCATCAGGTCTGTAATTAATAACTGTATTTAATGTTGATAAATAAAATTGTCAGTGTTCTTTCTACTAATTGGTATTCCAAATAATGGTTAATAGGTTTATTTATGCCTTAATAAAAGTTGTGTAATTTAGTTTTTCCTCTGCTAGGCATGTCTTAATCTGTCATTACTTGTGTTACGATACTATCCATGTAAAATGATGAACACGGAGAGACTCTTTAAATTCTGTAGTATACCATTCTACATTTCAAGAACCTCTGCTGTTGGGAGTTAGTTTAAATCTTGTCTTTATATCATAAGCACAAAAAGCATATTTGGCCAGTTTTATGCAAGAGAAAAATGTTCCACAATTCTAAGAACACATGGTTCGACACTGAAGAGCAGCACTGACTGAGAAGGTCAACGCCAATAAACCATCAGTGGTTTTCTATGTCAGAAAAAACCATCTCACGTAAGCTAGATAAAAGCTCATTGTTCTAGAAAATTTTCAGGAATACAAAAATAATGAAGTTTTCACAGATAAAGAGCCTTTAGAAGCAAAAGTCAACTATAATTAAATTTTAATGAATAGTGGTTTTTTACTATGTCACAGCAATGTGTTGTGTAGACACTAACCACTCTGAGAGGTGAAATTAAGTGGCAGTATAATTCCATAAGGCATTCCTTTGAATTTTTAACAAGTGGGAAAGAGGCATACGCTCTAAGTTACTGACTGCTACTCTCAATGAATTACAGAAAGAGCACAAAGCATAATTTTATGCTTTGATGAATAAGAAGTATTTTTACGATATACTTCACATTACACAGTATAGAGTACAATTAATTCAATATTAAATAAATGAAGAAATAAAAAAATCCTCTAGTGACATAGTTGTAGAATTATTTGTATAATGATACAGAAGAGAAAAAATGTCACTAAAATTCCTCATGTCTAAACTTGTCTAGACTAGTTAAAATGTTTGACTTGTTACATTTAACAAATTCTTGTTTATGCTAAATACATTTGTTAATCACTTTTCCCCTATCTAATAGCATATCTTTCAAGAAAGAAGAGGACTCTATGGTCTGCAACTACCTTTTCCAATAGAAGGGGCAATAGTGCACATCTAAGGTTAAAATCTTCAAAACAAATTCACAGAGAATTGTTTCGACCAGTAGTTCTAAACCTGTGAATTACAGATCTTGAGGCGGGGGGAGGGGAGGTTGAAAAGTTATTATAAGAGTTCCACCACTTTCAACTGCAGTATTGCCATTTGACCTTTACTTAGCCCTAAAAAAATGTGTAGCATGAATAATATATGCTTATGATGTTGTTAGTAATAAAATTAAAAGTCCTTCGAAACATTGCAGAAGTCAACTGCTGCTAAAAATACAACTATCGTGTGGGATGAGCAGTCTACAATGTGATTTCTTATTAAAATGGAATCCTCACACTCAGACTGAGAAACATGCCTTTAATAAAAAAAGGGAATAGTGAGTAATTATTTAATTAATATGTATGTAAATATGTCATTATTTAATTTAATAATAATGTGAGTCATGAATATAATAATAATGTCTAATGGTAATAATAATGTTAGAAATGTTAATCACGAGTAATGTTAACTGCATTAAAATTCGACTCAGTTCTAGACAGTTGGGAACATTTTCTCATCCTTGACACCTCCATCTTTCTTGCCATCTCCCTCACATCCAATCACATCACATTTCTACCATCTATTCAATTTTTTCTGTGATCATGGCATTGTCTCACCTATGTTCTTACAAGGGTCTCCCTACTCTTCTCCAGTCATTTCCCCTCTTCAATCCATCCTCCACCGTAGAAAAAATGACTTCTAAAACACAAATAGGATCTTGTCACAACCCCTGCTTAAGCTTCAGTGAGTCTCTTCAGATCTGGGAATAAATTTCAAACTCCTTAAACATGGCTCATAAGGTCCTACATGATCTGATCCCTGCTTACTTTTCCAGGAGCATCTTTCACTATTATAACTTTCATGTATAACTCCTTTCAAGTGACCCCAACACATCACAATCTTAGAGCACTCTTCTGAGCAAAAAAATGCCTGTGGCTTCAAAGAGCTGTAATTTGAAAATATGAATCAGTTTTCAAACTTGGGAGCCAATCATTAAGGTAAGATTCAAAACCGTGTTCTATCTAAAGATGAAACTAAAAATACTATGAAAAAAAGCCCAAAATACTATTTTCAAAAAGTAATAAGAGAATGTCTTACCATATTTTAAAACTTCAAGAAATACACATGAAAAGGGCAGTATGATACCGATACCAGAAGAGACAGGAAGACTAATGGAATTGACTGGAGAGACGGGAAATAGATCCAAGTACGTATAATAAATATATACTAAATGGCATATCTTAATTCACTAGGTAAAAGACAGATGATGGCATTAAAACGTATTGGGGCTAGCTGGTCATCCATACACAAATAAATATTATTAATTTCCTCACTACTTCTCTGAAAATAATTCCAGATAAAATCCAAGATTTAATGTAAAAATCAAAAATACTAGACTAAAATATGAGCAACACCACCTGCGGTGAGGCTAGCCTTTCTAAATAAATCACCAAAAGAAAAACTATAAAGTAAATGATTAATAATGTTAATCATATAAAAATGCACAAACAAAATTAAAATACAAACTGGAAAAATTATTTACACTATATGGCAAAGTGCTAATATGTGTGATACACAAGTTCTTATAATTCTATAAGAAACAAACACACACCCATATATGAACATAATGAGACAATGTGTAAAAGAATATGAATGCGTGTAGAACAAATGAAAAGATTTGCAACCAAACAGTCAAAATTACAAATAAGGAATGATATAGTTTCTTTTGCCTTTCAAATTGATAAAAATAAAAAAGACGGTTAAAACTTCGTGTACCAAAGGCATTATGAGAAAGCCAGAACTCTCAGTAGTGTTCATAGGAGTGTAATGCAAAGCAACTTTTACAAAAGGCAGACTGGCAATACTTTCCAAACGTAAAATACGCAAACTCATTTCTGAGGAGTTTAGCCAAGGAAATAATTGCACAAGTATAAAATGATTTTATGTACAAACATGTTAATTACAGCATAGTTTTTTATAATATTAATTAAAATAGTAAAAAAATATGAAAAAATGCCAATATCCATCAACAGGGAATTTTCAGAGTAAACTATATAAACAATGAAATAGTATATGATCAAATACAATTAATGACGTACACCTACCTTATTGACATGGAAAGACATTTATTATCCAGTGAGTAGAAAAAAAATTATGATGAGGCATGATTGTATGACTCCCTCATATAAAACTGGGTGTGTTTGTATGTATACCTGTAGGTACACATGTCTGGGAGATTTGTAGAAATCATTATAGTGTTAAGAATGATTGGGGATGGCCTTTTGGGTGATTTTTATTTCTTCTGTGCAGGTTTCTATACTGTGTGAAGTTTTTATACCAAGCATAAATTTAATTATCCTCTAGATAATTTTTAAAAAGCAAAAACACTTTTCCAGAAATAACAAAACTATTTTAAAAAGCACTGTATACTGTCTTCCTCATTCATTCATTAAACAGCTAGCTATAGGGCAACTCATATGCATGAAGGCACTGTGTTAGGCAGTGTGGAGAGGAGATCTATAACACTGATTAAGAATCAGTAGCTCCTGTTTCTATCAGCGTTATTTATAAATAATACTATAGATACAAATGCCCAATAACAGAACTACTCAAAAACATATCTTGACTTAGACAAATGGTATTTAGGGGAATGATTATCAAAAGCAGGGGTTTTTGGACTTCCCTGGTGGTGCAGTGGTTAAGAATCCACCTGCCAATGCAGGGGACACGGATTCAAACCCTGGTCCGGGAAAATCCCACATGCCGCGGAGCAACTAAGCCCATGCGCCACAACTACTGAGCCTGCACTCTAGAGCCCACGTGCCACAACTACTGAAGCCCGTGTGCCTGGAGCCCATGCTCCGCAACAAGAGAAGCCACCACAATGAGAAGCCCGCGTACCACAAGGAAGAGTAGCCCCTGCTCACTGTAACTAGAGAAAAGCCTGCATGCAGCAACAAAGAACCAACACAGCCATAAATAAATAAATAAATAAATAGTATCCAGTTTTTTTAAAAAAAGCAGGGGTTCTTGCTCATTTTTTGTCCCGTGTATACCCTCGATAGCCTAGTAAAACCTATGGATCCCCTTCTTAGCATAATACTTTTAAACATGTGAAGTCAAAATATGTAGGGTTACAAAGGAAGCAAATTTTATTAAAATGCAGTTTTCAAACTATTTTAAGTTTTATTATAAATATATTATGCATAAGACAATACATTTAAAATATAGACTGAAATTTTTTTAAAAGACATAGCATAGGGCTTCCCTGGTGGCGCAGTGGTTGAGGGTCCGCCTGCCGATGCAGGGGACACGGGTTCATGCCCCGGTCTGGGAAGATCCCACATGCTGCAGAGCG